CGCCCAGCGACCCGGTCAGGGGCCCGCGCCCACCACACATCGGCCAGGGTGAATGCTGTCAGGTGGGCAAGGCCATCTGTCACTGACGCTGGGTCCACGAGCTGGGAGGCCGCCCCATGGTGCCGCTTTCTGAAGGACGGTTCTGCAGAGCAGCAGGTCCCGGCCCCCACCCACCTTGCAGGACAGACGGTCAGATTCCCCCAGAGAGAGAGGGAACCACGTAGAAGGGCCATTTCCTTGTTCAAACGTGTTAAAGGAACTCGACATTAATAGCTGTATCTTTTTTTCCCCCAAATAACCCATTACTCTGATTTGGCCTTAAAATAGGTGGGGAAGAGTCAGCCCACAGTATCACAGTCCTCCACGTTGCTGAGACAGGGGCGGACTTGCTTGGACCGGCAGTCCGCGGTTTCCGGAGGGACGTCCGCCTCGCTCTGCGGTTGGCCCTGGAATCAGAACTGCCCCCAGAGGCTCCGGGAGGGTTCTGTGCGCGGCACATCCTGGTGGTGGTGAGATAACCAGCCTCCGCGCCTGACCCAGGCGGCGGGAGGGCTGCTCCCCTGGGCCCGGCTTCTGGGGCCTGTCACAACCGAGGAAGACAACACCTGAGCCCAGCGTAGTAACGGGGCGGCCCTGTCGGGGTAGGTACGGAGTGGTGCTAACAGGGCCCTTCCCAGCTGCAGTGGGAATTCTAACAGGGACTCATTTTCTTTAAATGTAACTTAGGTAGCATTTCCCACAAAGAGCACACGTTTCTTCTTGACACTGTAAGTGCCTAAGTGGGGTTTTCTAAAGCCCTTTCTATGAATTTCTTCACTATTAATGTCAATTTTTCAAAAAAGGATTGAGTATGACATCCTAAGGCGGACATTATTTACACATATAATGTGGAAATTAGATGATTTAAAATTAAATATGCCTCATTGTAACGATAGAGGTTGCTAAAGGGGCTCTCCCTTTCCAATAGTGAAGGCAGCTTTTTTCTGAATTAATGACCAGACGCAGGACGCTTACGTGCACTCTGCCACCGCCTCGTAAGGAATTCCTCCCCAGTGTCCTCGCCCGTCTAGCGTCTCGTCCGCGTGTCCAGCCACACGCCTGTGATGCCAGAGTCCCCGTGCCCCGCCCGCTGAGGCCCCCCCCACACCAGAACCCCTCCGCCCACTCGGTGAACAGCCACTGAGTCTGGGGTTAATTCGCAACGAAAACACAGAGCGGAGGCCCTTCATCGAGTCTGGGACCCTGGCAGGGGCCTCAGCACTGGTCGGGTGGTAGGATGTGCTCACTGGCTTCGGCTGCTCCTGCAAATGCCACTTTCCAGGGCGCTTTCCTCTCTGGGCACCACTTAACGAGCCGCACACACAAGGCTGGGGAGGGCAGCCGCTGACCTCGCTCCAGGGTCCTCGTTCACTTTTTGGGCCACAGGGCAGCCCCAGGAAGACCATCAGAGCGGCGTGCCTGCAACGACACGGTCCAAAGCCGCCATGAGGAAGCGACATCCACAACTCTAAATGCCACTTCAGGGGCTCCGCTGTCTGGTGCTAGAAGCCGGTGCCGATGTGGAGGAGTTCACGCCCTTGGTGTCTGTCTGTGGCCAAAGCCAGGTCTAGGCCATGTGCTGTGTGAGGTTCAGGGGTGGGTGGGGGTCTGGTGTGTGGAATACTTAAGTGGGTAAGTGATGTCCTTCAGGAGGCAAAGCGAGGTTCACCGGAGCCCACTCCACCAGGCCGCATCCTGCAGCTTTAATTTCTTCCTCGTGAAGCACGTGTCTAGGACTCGCTGGGCTGTAAGGTGCCCTGAGTGCCCAAGTGGTGACGAACCAGGCGCACCTGCTCCGTCTGCCCTGCAGGCACCACGGTCACCGACACACGGGACCCTCGCCAGCAGCCCTTCTGTGGGGTTGCACCGTTTTAGCCCTGCTTTTCCAAAGAGGAAATGAGATGGAACTTCACCAACGTCATACAATCCACCAGCCCAGCTCTTAGAAGGTGGAGGGCCCAGAAAGGGGCCCCGCGGCCGGGCTCCAGCGGCCACGCTGGGAAGTCCCAGGCCCGAAGCCCGGAGTCCTTCTGTCCGTCACCAGTTTTGACCAGAAAGCAGCTGGCTCTGCTGCGTCCGCGTGCTGGGATGACAAATGCCCACAAAGAGCCCGCACGTCTGGCCGGCTGCCCGGCGCATCCTGTGAGCAGAATTCTCGTGACGGCATCTGCCCACACCCCGTTCTGAGCGTAAAGCAGATGGAGGCGGCGGGGAAGATCGTGGAGGGGATGGCTCCGACTGCTCTGCCCGGGTGGGCGTGATTTAGGGGAATGACAGTGCGGTGAACCTTCTGGGAGAAGTAAAATTACTGAGAAATTCCTTTCTAAAGAAAGCTTTTATGTAACAGCTATTCTCAAAGTCCAAACTCCTTAGGCTGGTAAATGAGGCACGCGCCATCTGTTTCCCTGTCTCCTCCGCCCTCATCTCTCACCCCACTCCCCACTCTGCTCGAACGCCTCTCCATCCTCCAGCAGGAGCACAGACGGCCACCACACCCTGGGAAGGCCCATGCAGTGTGTGTGTGTGTGTGTGTAACCCATATAGGTGTCCCTGTGCACTTCCACCCTGGCGCCTCTGCCGCCCAGAGCCCCCTGCCCTCCTCGGAGCCAGAACTCTTGCTCATCCGCAGGCTCAGGCCCCCGGGGACCTGCTGTGACTGGTACTGCCTTCCTCACTTCCGGAGTGAGCTACTGCGCAGTCTGTTTGCACAGAAGGCCTTATTTTAGAGCCTCACGTGCATACGTGGCATCCTTTTCCACGAGGATGTGGAATTCATGGAAATGCATCCATCGTTCCAACCTCGGCACAGGGATGCGTCCTGCAGAGCCACCGGGAAAGGCTGGACTGGCGGTGAACGAATGAACACTGACCAGGGAAACTACGACAAACAAGTCTGAAGACACCCAGGTTAGAAACTCTTCCAAAAAAGCTCTTCAGCCACACAAAGAATGACGTACACTAGGGTGTTCTCAATGAGACGTGATGCACGGCGCACCGCAACATTCTTGAAAAGGGGCCGTGGCTGTCTCTGGGTGTCGGACTAGCGCTGGCTTTATTCTCTGCTATAAACCCATGCCTGGGCTCTACACTTGCTACAATAAATACCCGTAAAGTGTTGTGGGTTTTACGCGTCCAGCCCAGGACCGCGCCCCGCTCTCAGTGCCCCGTCCAGCAGGTCTTCCTGCCGCAGTGACGTGGCCTCGGGTCGGTGCTGGAGAAGGGTTTCCGCAGGTAGGTCAGGGAGCTGAAGGCGAGGCAGAGCGTGTCCTCAGGAGAAGAAAGCAAAGCCAACCCAGAGCAAAACCGCAGGACGTGGAAAGAGAGGCCACGCTCTCCAGACAGTCAGGCCACAGCCGGGGTTGGGAGGTAGGCGAGCTCCGCTTCTGGCTTCAGGGACCACAAGTGGGGTTCCGATCCACAGAAACTGACGTAATTCTGACCATAAACAAGAACCCGCCTCACTGGTCGCCGCGGGGATTAAACGGACGTGCGCAGGGCCCAGACCAGCACAAGCCCTGCTCCGCGCAACCACGCACCGTGAGACCCGGCCCCCGAGAACAAAGCCGTTCCCAGCCCAGAGCCCCCAGCAGCCGGGCCCCGGCCAGCATCAGCACAACTCAGACGTGAGGGCAGGTGGAGGGCTCCCCACGATCTTGACTCAAGAGATGAGGAAAAGCTGACGGCCCAGGACACGAAGTTACTCATCTCAAAAGACCAAAAAACAATGAGCATCAGACCATAAAAAGGCCCGACTTGTATCTGTTCATGAAACTGGTCGGTCACGGGAATGCCCAGGGCCACCCCCCGCTGCCCCGGGTTTCGGAAGTCCAGTGAAACACTCATACTTTGAGGAGGGCGCCCCACTCTGCGGCCAGCTTCCCGGGGCTGTGACCGAGGGTGGTGGCCATCACGAGTGTCCCCATGCCCTTGGCCGTGACAGTTCCAGGCTCTTTGGGGAAGACGAAGCCCAGGCACAGACATCACACGGACACATCCAGCAGGACAGCCAGGTCGCAAAACTCTGCTAAACAGACCGGCTGATCCGCTCTGGTTTTCAGATCGTGGACCTTCGCTTCTAATTCCAGCACTTGGATACCCGCAGGGAGGGGGCCTCGGGACCCACCAGACAGTCCTCTGTTGGTGATGTCACAACGCACCTGGAGTCACCACACTTTACAGCAGGGGGGCCGAAGGGCACTGCTGGCGTGCTCAGGATGCGTGTGTGTCACACGCCACCGGAGGTGCAACAGGTCCTGTGGTCACCAGAATCGCAGACCTTGAAGAACTGGAAGGAAAAAGGCTGAGAGTCAATCTGCATTCACGCAGGAGAGACTCCAAGTTACACGCTAGGCTTCCGGAAGGGCCTTCGGGAAGCAAGCTGGGAACATTCTGCAGCAGAAACGTGAGCCTCTGCTTGTGGCTCAGGTTCAGGAATTACTGCCTTAGCCAAACATTAAGATCACACACAGAATCACTGAGACCCTGGAAAGAGGCACTGGAATTGCATTACTACCCGGAAAGCTCTAGCTCTGAGGCCCAATTCTGAGCAATATTTGGGTAAACTTAACTGTCTTAAAATAAGTCTGTTTTGTGCACCCACTGAAATCAAGTCCTGCCAGTGGGAAGCTGGAGTCAGAAATGAGAGACTCCCTGCATTGAACAGGTCCCACCCCTCGCCCAATTCTTCAGTCTGGGAAAGTCCGGTTAACGCTGATAAATAATTAACAATTTCCAGTCCTTTGCTCATTTACTGGGCAGATATACACCAAATGCCTGTGGTGTACCAGGAAGTGCTCTGGGTCCCGGAAAGTGGCAGGAACCAGACTTGGCCCCACAGAACTCACGGTCTAGTGACAAAGGCAGATCTAGGCCACACTTATGTGAATTCCAGTGCAATTACAAACCACGGTGAGAGCCACAAGGATCTGAGGATAATGATGAACGGGCCTGGCTTCTCCTCGGGGACCAGGTGAGTCTCCTCTGAGAGAAGTTAGCCAGACAGAGGCGGGCAGAACACAGAGCAAACTCCTGGCGGTGGAAACAGGCTTGACCAGTTCTGGAAACTGAAGAGGCCGGGGAGCAAGGGCCCTGTTGGGGTCTGCAGGGCCGGGCCCATCCAAGGCTCCTGGGACTCTTAAGGACGACGCGGCTCCTCCGGTGGCTTCAAAGGCGTGGAGCCCAGGCGTCGGGGCAGGAATGGGACTCACCACCTGCTCAGGGGCACACAGCTCGTGGTGCCAGGCTGAGTTAGACTCCAGGTCCCAGGACCCCCACCCATCTCACCCACCACGGCACTACCTCAGCTCCAGAAACCCGAAACGCACAAGAACACGTCCAAGATCCGACCATTTCCAAGGTTTCTGCAGATCCCGCGGCACCGCAGAAGGCGCGGTTTCCAGGCCAGGCTGGAGCCGAGCGCGCGACACATCTGCCTTCGCCAGTGCCCCCGGGAGACGGCCACCCCCAGGACGGAGCAGATGCCGCCCGCCCCCAAGCCCCTCGTCCCACCGCTGCCGAGCTCCCTCCCAGTTCCCGGGGCCCCACAACAAGCACCCCAAGTTCACAGCCGGGGACGAGGCCCCGAGGCCACCACCAGCCGCACCCTGGGCCAAGGGGAGGCCCTGTGAGGTCAGCCGATCAAAAGTCCTCATGGAGACTGGGATGCTGACCGAGGGCCTGAAGTCGCCTACAGTTCATTTTTAAATTTCTCACGGGAATTTCACCTCATTCGCGATATAAACTGGGCCTGTATCTTCCACCTCAATGTTTTCCCTCAAAGTATCAACCCTTTAATAAGGTCTCATCGATTTAATAAATGGTAAGAACATTTGCGCTAAAAACCAATCACCGAGCGGTCTGTCTGACATAAGAGAAATGAAGGTAATCTTTCTTTATCTTTTGACTTCTGCACGAAGGTGGTCACCTCCACGGCTAAAAGCGCTTCACCTGACTTCCTCCTTCCATCTCCCCGGCGGAGGGAGAGCAGGAGTCGGCCCAGGTGAGGGGCTCATGCAGCGGGACGGGCTAGCACACAGCGGAGGGGAGGCCTCCGCGGAGCAGCGAGCGGCTCCACTGCCGGCCACGTGACGTCTCTGTCCCGTCCCATCCCGTGACACTGACCTACACTGGCCACACGTACTCTTTGGCCAAAGGACCAGCGAGGGTGAGGCTTCTCCCCTCACCATGCCGTCCCCGCACTCAGGCCGCAGAAGCACCAGCCTTCGGGAGACGCAGGCCTCGAGTCAGGATGACATGCCCGAGTGGCTCTTCACCCTCCTCACTGGTTCACTCATCCCGGGACTGGACGGCGTGCAGCCTCACGTCCAGGCCCCGGAGACACCAGTGGACAGCACGTGGAGAGCCCGTTCCTGTTCCGGGGGGGACGCCCACTGCTGGGGCCAGCGCTGTGCTCTGAAGAGTCCTAGTAATTGGGCCACTCACCCCGCTGAGCACAGTGCGTGCCCGGCTCCACGCAGACCCCAAGACACGGCCCACAGGTCGGGCGCACCCCTGCCTTTCTGGGGCTTCTGGTCGGGGGGGGGACGGCGAGACGGCAGCCTGTGACCAGTGACTGCCTGCAGGATGCAGATGGGAGGTGCACTCCAGAGGCGCCAGGTGGGAAGGCCTGCCCTGGAGGTGCTCCCCAGAGAAGAGTGTGCCAGACAGACGGATGGAGGACGGTGGGGGGGGGGCAGGCCGAGGGCCGCACACAGGAGCTGCAGGAAGGGCAGTTCGGGCCCCAGCGGCGGCCGGATGGTGCAGGCGCATCCTCGGTCCAGACCCCCATGAGCTCTCCTCAGGGTGACGACGGCCCCCCCGGAGGTCACGTGTGCCAGTCCTCTCCATCCTAAGCGCCCACAACTATGCTGAGGTGAGGCTGCGCTGAAAATGGTAAGAACAGCTTCCTGAGGACCCCACCTCGGACTCCTGGAGCCAACACCTAAGAGGTCAGGGGACACCGGACACCAGGCTGGAGGGAGCACACGGGGAGGCCACAGAGTCAGAGGACGCCCGGTGGTCCGGCCCCACCGCTTGCGTGCTCCCAGCCAGTGGCAGAAGTGCGTCTCTGTTATCAGTGCACTCATGCCCTCATGAGGCTCCACCCTCGTGACCTCAGCACCTCTCAGAGCCCCCCTCCGAATACCGTCACCTGGGACAGGGGCTCAGCATGTGAATTTGGGGGACACACACATTCAGTCTACAGCAGCCACTAAGTTTGTGGGGCTGATCACTGAACAATCATGCCAACTGGAGCAAGGGTCCTGTTACCCATGTTGTGGGCTGCACCCACGGCAGTGGGAAGTGATTGGCTGCACAACTTAGTAAGACCGGTGTCTTTAAATGACCACTCCGCCGACCGTAGGAGGAACTGTCAGAGGGATGAGCTGTGTGCAGCCGCCGGGAACCAGCGCAGTGGGAGCAGGAGGTGACAGTGCTCGGACACGACGGCAGAGCTCTGAGGCCCCTCGACCACAACACCCCAGAAAACAGCACTGATGGCCTCCGACGGCAGTGCAGCAGTCACCGACTCACAAGCACCACCTACACCACCCCTTCAACAAGTGTCCTCATGACTCAGCAGACCTCAGTGCTGTAAAAACAATCCACGTCCTGCTGCGAGTCTGAAAGCGTGAAGCTCCGTCGAGTTCATGGAGGAAACAGCACAATTAATTGGGGGTAAAGTCGCACATCTGTGACCACGGTTCAGGCGCACCTCCCGGCCCCCCTCCCACTCTCAGTTGCGCCCTGTTCCTCTGGGACCTCCTCCGTCGGGTCGTGCTCACCCTTCAGACCCCAGCTCAAAGCCCCTTGGTCAGAGGCTTCCTAGGGCTTATTCCTGTCCTTCCGAGAACTTGCCCGCTTGTTCTTACACTGGAAGTAACATGATTACACTTTCAATGACTCTCGCCTTATTAGGATCCAAGCTGCAAGGGACTAGGGTAGGCACCGTGTCTGTTTTAAATGCCACTGTATTCCCAGCACCCAGAACTTTGCCTGACCTGGGGTAGACATTCAATGAATGTTTGTGAAAGAAAAATTAATTTTTAACCCATCGACTGTTGCATAAGGCGTGCAACGGCTTCACCTCCCAAGGCTCTGTTTAACACCCTTCCTAGCAGGAGCTGGGTTGTTGGCAGAAGGCGAACTCCTGGAAGTTCCTGCTTTATTCCAGAAGTCATTGCTCATTGTTAACTATCTTGCGAAGATGTGCCGGTGCCAACACTATAACGTTCACATAATTACAGCAATTCCAAGAGAGAAACTCAAACCAAGGCCACAGTGGAGACCACAATCCCTTGAACTCCAGAGGGCAGATTCACCACGGGAAGATAGATGTGCAGCATGGCAGGGCTGGTGTCGGTCTGCACAGGGACGGCCACCGGGGCAGCTCCGAGGCCCCCCAGCAGCCGTCCTCCAGGGTCCGCCGCCTCGGATGGAGGGAGGCTGCGGGCATGACAGCTGCCTATGTAATTCCAGGCTCGGCAGAGCCATCCATACCGACAACTCACCGCTGGTACTCAGAAAGCAACTGAAGCATGACCCCGCATGGAGGCCCCACTGCACGGAGAGCCTCTGGTCTCAGGGCCAGGACGAAGTCGCTGGACGTGGACCCTCGGCTAGAAAGAGGCCTCTGCTTTCCCATTGCCACACGGCTACTTGAATCAGAACAAGCGAAATGAAATCAAGCCATGGGGGCTGCCAAGAAAGATGTTCCGAGATGGATGATGGCCTCACCGCATTTCCACATTCTTCTGTTCTCCCAGGGCTGGAGCCAGCAACAGGCAAGGTCCTCTGGGAGAAAGGAAGCCGCCCTAGCAACAGGGATGCCCAGACCCTAGGACGGCAAGATGCCCACGCAAGCCAGGCGCCCAGGCGGCTCCTCCCTGACCTAAGATGGACATTTACCTGCTTTCTCGCCTCCTCCCAAGCCTAAGACTGCCTTGAATCCTGTAAGCCAAGTCTTTGAAAGTGTTTCGTTCTGCGTTCTAATTACAGTATCACTGGTGGCCATGCAGTGACATGAAAAGCGGACAGACTTTATTTCATTAAAATTTTGCTTTGTTAGACCCAGAAGGGGAGCTGGAATGCCAATTTCCATACACGTGCAGACACCACACTTGTCCTGGGCAAGTCAGACAGAACAGGAGAGCGCCCTTCTGCATTTCAGGGTGGGGAGGATTCTAGCAGCAGGGCACCGCTAGCTCGGGAAAAATGCCCAAGGACAACATCGCATCCATTAAGGGATCCTAATTAGAGGCTGAGGAACTGCTGGTTGAAGAGAACCCGAGGGGGGCGGCCAGAGTACAGGCGGGGGCAGGGTGGCCTCATTCCTCGGTCGAGGGGCTGCGCAGGGACTTAAAATTTGATTGTAAAGTGCTTTCAGTGGGTTGTGCAGAAATAAAGCTATTGCACTGATCTGTTCTTTTCCTTTCCCTTAGAATAGATGTGGGGGTGGGTGGAGATAGAGAACGTAGTTTCGTAGGAACCTGAGAAGTGGTGGAATTTTTTAAAAACCTTTCTTATTTAACGTTACAGGAGCAGCCATGCGGGACTGGCGCGACCCCGCGGCCCCGCTCCCAGCCCCCCGCGGGAGGCTGGGGACCCCCCGCCCTGTGGGTGGCAGCGGGAGGCCTGCTGCTGTGGAAACCATTTAACCTCCCTCCAGGCACCTTCAGCCCGCGGTGCGGTGGGCTGGTTCCACGCAGTCTTTATTTAAACGCTACTCCTTTTAGTACTCCCGCCCCCGCGCCATCGTGATGTCAGGCACGTTCAAACCCAGGCGACAAGCACTGTGGCGGGCTGTCTGGTCGGTCAGTGGGGCGAAGCCTGGATGAAAAGAAAGCATTCGCTGAGCACCAGCCCACACCCACGACCCCGGGCAGTTCCGGGCAGCAGCGGGACCCTGGGGGAGGCGGGGGTCCTGGCGGGCGGCCGCAGGGCAGTCAGGGAGGGAGACGGAGGAGGAACGGCGAGGTGCCTCCGCACGAACTCCGGCACGTTCCTCCCCTCCCCCAGGCCCCAGGTCGGGGAGGGACCTCCCACCCGCTTCCTGCAGCCCCTCCAGATGGGCAGCGTTGCCCGGCTGTGACCGTCCGCGAGGCACGGCCCGGCAGCCCCTCGGAAAGGGGAACTGGCGGCCAAGCCAGCCGCTAACGTGGCCACGGCGCCAGGGCCGCCTCCCCAAGGA